TTAGAGTCAGATACAAGATTCAAACTGCTTCAAAGATAATTGTACACTTTAGATAAATCAATAAATAAAAGCTTGCACGAGAATACGGACTTCATGAACCATTGAGAAAATTCACGTTTGTTTGGGTTTTAAGTATAGTTTTAATTATTTAGCCTTCATTATAGACCCAGCAAACTGTTGGGATGCAAATCATTCAAATTCGTGATGTATGATCATGTCATGATCTGTTTTTATATATTGACACGAGACTGACATGGTTTACATCATGACTCATGATCTATAGTCTGATTGACCCAGATTAAACTCAGCCCATTAACTCGAGTGGCACCCTTTGTCTGATTTTAAATGGGTGATACAGCCGATAGAATAAAAGGCTCTCAGTGGCAGTTCATTGGTTTTTATAACTTTGAAAGTGTTACAGTGTATTGATGCTAAATTCAAGTCTCTAAATGTAAAACTAATACAACGTTTCTTCATGTTGTGTCTAACTGTTACAAGAACTGTCTGAAATATATAATACGTGATAAATCAGAACAAAATCCCAATAATAATTCAGGAACTGATGAGTGATGAGTTCCCAACAGGAATAATCTTTATTCATTCCCTGTAGCGAGCTGCTGGTTGTCTGGCCGGCCGCCTACTGTGTGTACAGGCTAACACACTGAAAGATTGACCGGCTGTGTAGCTCATTGACTGGCAGGCAGACGCACCCGCAGGCTGAACAGTTGACTAGCTGTCTGGTTTCTTTAACTGGCTCGTTGCTAACTGATGTGATGATCCTGATGAGTGTCAAACTGCTGTAACTGAATCCTTATGCACTTACTGTTACAGGGTCTCACACTGCAGCACCTGCATCTGACCACTAGAGGGTACCACCTCACCTCTTAGAGCCCTTTCAGAGATGAACTATTTCATGAATGAATATGAGTCAGTAAACACTTTGACTGATGTTTGGATCACTTAACTATGAGCGGATGTGTGTGTACTGCAAGCTGTTAAGTGCCTTTCACTTTGAGAGTTGAAATCAATTGCAAGACCGCACGAACACATACACACGCGGACAGACAGAGCATTGTTGTTTCTCAATGCTCTTTCATGTTGGTAGAGTTAATTCAATTTGATGTTTTCAACTCAAAGACAGAATGGTAATGAAGAGGAAGTACAAAAGAGTGAAAGTCCTTTAGAGAACGAGTTTCTTTCTTACCTTTTCAGACTTTCAAAGTCAGTCAATTTGCTATCAAAGAACGTGGAGGAAATTGTGCATTATACTACCTCCTATTTTACCAGATGGCTTTATAAACAACTTTCTTTTTTAAATAGTGCATTTTGCACTAAATCCCTTCACCTTTCTTTAAAAAAAAAGAAAAACTTAGGTATTCATTTTCAAGATTTAAACACTCCAACCTTCAGACAATCTGTTTTGTCAGCACTTTGTTCATATGATTAACTGTGATGGCAATATGAGTGAACATCATTGGTTTGTTTGGTTTGTTTCTTACTGTAGAGATTTAACAAAAAAGTAGAAAAAGTAGCTTAAATACCTTAAGTTCTGATGATGAATGTAAAGAAATGGTCAAAGTTTTGCAGAAATATTTGTATTTATGGAGGACAGGTTTTCAGCACTCTTCACAATAAAGATGTTGCTCAATGTACTGCGGCAGAATAGAACAATCCTTTCTCTGTGACTTTTCCTCCTGTGGGAACTTTGTACCAATCCTTCTTCCTAATTCCTCACACAGACCTGACTGTTTTGTAATCCAGCCAAATGTAGCTACAGGACCGCGCTGTACTGCATGTTTTCCTGCCTGTAGGTGTGATAACGTGAGTAGGTGATAGGTCATGGAACACATTACTATACATGTGTTAGAGACTTGTGCGTTTATCCTAAAATATCCAAACACTTAGTAACATTTCAGTATGTTTATTGCTTTTTCTTTTGCAAAATAAAACGCCACAGTCGTGTTTTTGCATTTTGTTAATTTAACAATGCAGGAAGCCAATCATTAATAGTTCCTTGCATTGTGATTATACTTTATCTATACAAAACTAAACTTTATGCAAATCAGAATCAAGTCATCGGTATAGCTGTCCAATATACACTAGTTATTATATTTGTTTCTACTGTATTCTCTTCTTTTTATTTGAGTATTTATGGTTCATATTGAACTGTTCTCAAAGACGTTAGCTGATTTCCCTCACTAAGAGTAACTATAAAACATCCAACAGTAGAATTCAGCCATTTAACATCTCCGGGAATAGTCTTAAAATCAGACAAGAAGGATATCTTTATATGATTTGACTCCGTGGAACATCCATATATATATATATCCTACACACTTATACTGGACATAATCGATGTCCAGATCAAACTGATTAAGGCAAGGCTCACTGCACAGTTTACGTACTTTTGACCTTTCCACAACACATGCACTGCCAGCTGCAGTCTGTGCATGTTTCCATCCACAGTGGAAATGCAAACACACCTGGAGTACCACAGCTGACAGCTACACTTTCACACTTATTATATAATACCTCGGACACAGTAGCTCCATTTGCGGTCGACACACACACACACACACACACACACACACACACACACACACACACACACACACAAACCTAATTTGGCCAAAGGAATACACACAAGTGGTGTTTGTGTATTTGTGTGTGTGTGGTTAGCTCCCATATGTTCTCGTGGGAAGGACCCAGAGTTTGCTTTTCAGACCGAGGTGTCAGCATCCAAACGTGTGAGCTAAGAGATGGAAAGCAGTGATGGATGGTTTTAGGGGGTTAAAAAGAGGGGATAATATAAAGGGTTACAGAGAGAAGAATTAGAAAGCACTATCTCAGTGTAGTGCTGCTTTAGATTTACTTTAGACTTTAGACCTACTGTATAATATAGCTTTAAAAAATATGGTTTTCAGATCAAAATAAGATCATATGAGAGACACAAGATCTCATAGTCTGCTTCACTTTGTGATTACCAGGTCCATGAAGGTGATTTATACTGTACATAGGAACATTTTGAACTATCCGTGCTTTACTCTCCAAGATAATATAAGATTGTACATTGTACGTTGTAGCATTCAAGTATGTTCAGTTTTAGCAGCATACAAAATACTGAATTTCTGCAAAATGTCATTAACAATCCCTTTTTAATAACTTATATTTCGGAATATAAATGTAACATTTAAAAATGTCTAATTCAAAGAAAAATAACAGTATGCCTCGTAAATGTTGTTAATCCTTTGTATACTTCATAAACATACTGTGAGAGTAATGTAGGAAGCCTTATGTTTGTATTCAAAAGGTATTAAAGAGGCCCCATAATGCTTTCTTGGGATTTACCTTCCCTGTAGTTTGTTATATTGGTTTTTGTGCGTGTACATGGCCGGCAAAGGCTAACATTCCTCCATTGGACTCCTTTGTTTACTTCAGTGACACAGTGACATCACTATGTGACAATTGCACTTCTAATGGCCAGCGCTCCAATACAATGTTCGTGATAGGCTAAAGGAATGGGACATCTCTACAGTTGACCAATCGCAACAGAGCCGGCCAGCTGACCAATCAGAGTAGATTGGGCTCTGGTTTCAGACAGAGGGTGGAAAGAGGTGCTGCAGCACAGGCAGTCTGAGACAAATAAAGAACTTTCTGAACATTAAAGCATGGACACATGTCACAGTAGAAGCACAACATACAAATATGAAACCTGAAAATGAACATATAGAGCCCCTTTACATTTGATACCAGGCCCCAGGTCCTTTGTGTACATGTATTTAGTTAGATTGCGCATAAGCTGTGCAGTATGAGTATAACATGAATGAACAGAAAGAGAAACACAGTAGAGCACATCATCGGTCAGCTAGATTATATGGTGATAAAAGAATGCTCATCTCTCTGTCATCACCTCTTTTGAAACGGGTCTCAGGTGGTGTGTATGTGTGAGTATGATGTATAACAGTGATGCAGCCAAAGCAGTGGCAGACATATGATTTAGAGGAGTGTTTTCCTTGTAGGGGTAATTGGATTCACTTTTTGTTTTATTCAAATTATAGACGCTGATTGGGATGGATTCAATACAATTTGTTTTACTCTTTACCAAATGATTTCAACTGTGTGTATCTAATGAACATGTTGACGAAAGAAGTATTAAGTTTAGAGTTGCAGTAATTTTTACAACAGAGTGGAATGCTTTACATTTTAATAGTATTACTTATTCCACAGCTTTAATAGGGCTCATTTTTTATGATCACACAAATGCGTGTTCATAAAATCTAATGCATGAAATGTAATTATTGAGTATATTGAAATTATAGTAAATTGTTATTTATACAACAAAGTCACTGTCAGACTGTATACATACTTTAATTCAAGATTTGTTTGGTATGTTTACCATATAAAAAGCAACATAAAGAAAAGAAGATTTTTCATTTTTTCATTGTTAGTGTCATGGAAAAGTTAAGCATTTTTAACTCTCGTGTTTTTCAAAACATTGTTTCATAAGCTCTTTTTGATTGTTACAATTGTGAATAATTTGTATTATTTGTAAGGTAGCTCAAATTGATAGTAGGATAGGTTTGTATAAGCAATATTTGTATGCATGTGCCTTATCAGTCATATTGTATCCTAGACTGTGTATTGTATATATTGCTTATAATGATTGTATTGTGTGTAATGAATGAATGAAAGGTCCAACATACTGTGCGATACATTGGCATTCACTTTTTGTACAACCAACCAAGAGATATTTTTAAATGCCATATAACTTTGCACCACCACTAAAAGTGAATACAATATCCTTATGTCTCGCAAGCAAAGTTTTAATCAAAAATCCTGTTTTTTTAATGATAAATATGACTTTATAGTGGTAGTGTTTGCATGATTAAAACCATAGTGATACACGTCTTTTCTGCAGTTCTAATGGTAGCAGCAGCAGAAACAGCAGCTTTTTTTGATATTCTGTAAAAAAAAAAAACAGGCAGATTTGCTGTTCCTACCTTGACATAGTCCACCGTGGCATCCAGGCCGGCAGCAGGCTCCCTGGGGAACATAGACAGAGACATGGACCTGTTTAGTGAACACATCTTGCTCCTGGACCCAAACTACTCGCTGTTGAGCTTCAGTTCCTCTCTGGAGTTCCTATTACAAATAAACTAGTAGTGTTAAGTCCAAGTGGGACCCTGACTGGTGCTGAAGCTGCTTCGTTAGGAGATCAGACACTGATCAGCTGTTTTTGGAGATGATTAAGTTCAGTGGAGGTTTTTTTAAAAGATCCAAATGGGTGTCACAGGTCCAAACATGATGCCATATCAGCCATACGATAGACAAAGAAGGTACAGCTGCACTGTAAGGCTTCTGTACAGTGACCTGTAATGCTGTCCAGATCTCACTGTTTTTAATCTAAAAGAAAAGACGTCCAGAGAAACAAGACTTCACACTGAACTGCTTTCAATCTTAGACTCTCTCTGTCCTTCTGCTGTCTGTCTCTCAGTCAGCGGTAAACATGTTCACTTACTGCCTGCCTCTCTTGGCCCCCCTCCCTCACTCCTCCCCCACCATAACACACATCGCAGCCACACGCCTATCCTTCAGAGTCTACTGACAAATTCACAGGGAGGTAAGAGCACACACATTTCTTTCATTTTTCTCCTTTTGCATTGTCTTTGATAACTTAAAGGGGCCCTATTATGCTTTTTGTTGTTCCCTTTCCTGGAGTTTGTTTGAAAGGTTGTAGTGCATGTAAATGGTCTGCAAATCCCCAAATTCCCTCCTGAGGGAAAGGCCTCGATTGGACTCCTTTATTTACTTCCGCAACATAGTGACATCACTATGTAACACAATTGTACGTGATAGGCCAAGGGCCTTGACAGCTCCAGCTAACTAACCAAATCAGGTCAGACTGGGCTCTGGTTTCAGACAGAGGGTGAAAAGAGGTGCTGCAACACAGGCGTATGAGAAAAATAAAGAGCTTTTTCAACAAAGGCACAAAATACGATTATTAATCTGAATATGAGCATAATATGTCATCTTTAAAAACATCCGACAGCAGTTTTCTACATGATCTTGTTGGACTTTCATTGGCTGTTATTACACATTTTAGTTTAAAGGTCAGAATACACATAAAACATTATTTAAGTATTTTGTTTTGACCAGCAGTTCTTAACAGAATATCTGACTCAAGCACAGCTCATTATTTCCATTTCTCTCCCTCGATATTGGTACTTGAGCGTATAAATGTAGCTCTCTCTCGACAGGAGGCTTATGTCAGAGGATCAGTGAAGAGGTAATTAGCTCAAATCCCCCACAATGTTAGCAAGGTTGGTAGTTTAAATCCCTTAAGCCTACATTGCTGTTCCCACGGGAATATTAGCACAGTCCATTGCTTACCAAACCAAATATGTTTAGCTCTAAGCCCTCTCAGTTTAATATCGCCCCAGATAATGAGGTGGGATTAAGTTATGTAACTAAACAGAAGCCTCCATTCACAACAATGTGTAGTTATTATTCATAGAATGAGAATGCTCAGGACTCTCAATCACCCTCAGCCAATTTCACTTTGCAGGGACGAGGAGATGCAGTATATTCAAATGATCCTGTTCCAGGTCTAAACATCCCTAATCCAACATATCCTCACCCCCCCCCCCCATCACAAAGTATCAACACAACTCTACACTGAGGCTACCCCAAAGCAGAATGCAGATCAGCTGTTGGCTGAGCTGTTGTCTGATTGTGCCTGGAGCGATAGAAAGTTGAAAGTGCTGCAGATCACCCTCTATTTCACAATTTAGTTGTTTTTCAAAAATCTGATAAATTACAATAAGCCATTTAAAAAAAAAAAGAAATTCTAAGTAGGTATATATTATAACAGCTGAAAGTAAAGACTATCTCATTTATCAAAATGTAATCAGTTTACAGTTATTTGATGAACTGTTAATAGTGAATGTCATTTTTGTTTGTGCCTTATTGTTATTTTATGAACTTGAAAGGCAATATGCATTTGGCAAAGGCATTTGGACAAGGCATAGGATAATATGAAATTATATATATGTGGATTTCATTTCATGATCATTGTTGTATTTTGTAAAAAAAAAAGAAAGTTGGAAACACTTTTAAATCGTGATTACCCTTTAAGTGATTTATCTTAAATAGGGTTATCATAATTGATTATGTGAGTCAGTTTTATCTTTCACTTTCAAATCAGGCTCTGTTTTTCACCTCTTTCTCAAGAGTTAGACAGTTTTGCCAAGCCACTCATCTGAGGATATTCATGATAATAATGATGTAATCTCAGTGGAATTAAAACCTTATATTGTCCAATTTAATTTGGCTAAACATATGACATCGGAAAACAGCAATAATTATTGTCTTTAAAAAAAGGAATGGTTGGATTATGATCAGTGACAGCTTCTCGGAGCTAAACTGCTTAAAAATCACCACTGCAAAAAGAGGAAGGATATAGTGAAGAAGAGCAGGAAGAGAATAAGGAAGAAGAAGACAGGAAGTTTCTGTGGTCTAAAATCTAAACTTAAATCAGACATTCAGTTTGACACAAAAGTACCGTAGCAATATGTGTTGGTTTTTAGGAGTCAGTGGTTAGCTGGACCTCTGATTGTCCCCAAATCTTTACCACTCAAACCACCTGCCCACCGTAACCGTGCGCTGGCTCCATGGTCAGAGGTGGGTGCATGGAGAATCACCACATTCCAGACAACACCCATATGAACCCTCCTGCAGTTGAATGTGCTACAACTGAGGGAAAATCCAGATTTGTTTTCCCTGAGGGAGGTCAACAGGTCAGGCTCACAAACAGAGCAGCAGTCCTGGAGATGATGGAGATTCAGTGTTAAACCTGTTAAACCCAGGTTGTTAGCCAGGTGTAGGATGAGGTCTCCGCCCAGCGTCTTAACGGATGTTTTTTACTTCTATATTCTTCCCTGATAGCGTTAAGTAAGGCTGATTGCAGCACTAACAATCTGAAACAAAGTAAAGTCAGAGTGAGATGGCCACGCATTCCAGACTAAACAAGCTGACCACAGCTAACTTTGCCTTTTTTTTTTTGCTGAAACAGCATCAGACGCTTTTTTTTTCTGCTTCTAAGACCACAATGTCAAAAAGGCAGAAAGAGTGGATGCAAGTGAACAAATACAAGTACAGGGAGGGCAGCAGGAGCCACAGTCTTTTTCTGGCTACTGTTGTTCTTTGCGCTTCACCACACAACTCTCAGCACGGCCACAACTGGCTTCAGTGACTGACTTCACTGTGTGTGTGTGTGTGTGTGTGTGTGTGTGTGTGTGTGTGTGTGTGTGTGTGTGTGTGTGTGTGTGTGTGTGTGTAGGAGAGAGAGTGAGCAACATGCAGGGGCTGCAGGCGGCCTACAGAGGTCAGTGTGTTTTCATATTAAGATCCACACACTAAGGGGAAAATGGATTTGTGATTCCAATCCAGACTATACACATCTGTACCTGCTATATGCTAACTGTATTGTTTTGGAAGTTGATGTTTTACAATTAAGTAAATGAAAGAAGTGAATGTGGGATGTTGAAGCTTATTTACCTTATATTATAATGAAATAATAAGTGTTATTTTATTATGCAGAGGATGTTATGGATTTTGTTATGGATTTTCCTGTGTTTATATTTATTCCAAACTGTGGAATGGCCTCCCATTGACCATTAGACAAGCCCCTTCACTGTCCATTTTTAAAACTCGCCTAAAAACCCATTTTTATTCCTTGGCTTTTAACCCAGCATGAGACTCTGTTTCTGTTTGTTTTTATATGCTTCATTGGTTTTGTTGTTTTTATATTGTTATTTATTGTTATTGTTGTTTTGTTTTTGTTTTTTATGGCGTGTACAGCACTTTGTTTCAGCTCCGGCTGTTTTGAAAAGGGCTTTATAAATAAAGTTGAGTTTGAGTTTGAGTTTGATTATTGTTTTGATTGAAGCTGACTACAATCAGAATTACGTCACTTGTAGTCATGGTTTTTTGGACCTTTCATATAGGAGCTATGGGTGGAAGAAATAAAGCCGTAATAGAAACTGCATGGTGATCTCTCCATGATACATGCAGTTTAGTTAATTCAGTGTGCATATTGAAATCTTTTGAAAGTGTATTGTCCAAGTGTGAAAACTCCTGTTAGAGTCAGTGTGTATTACGACTTTGCAACACATCAAGATGCTAAAAGTCTGGTTTTTATTTGCAGCACTAAAGCAGTCTGCTGGTTCTGTCCCTCAGTTGGTCAGGGCTGTTACAAGAGCAATACATCAACAGGTATGAACAAGGTAGGAATGTTAGTTCAATACCATCTTTTACAATTCAAAAGAGAATATAGTGTAAACGCTGTTGATCATCAGAAGAGGTCAATCCAAACTCATTCAGCAGAAGCAGAATTAAAAAGGGTAACAAATAAGCTTATTTATGTTGCTGAAATGAAAAGTGGCATGTGTCAACACACTGCCTCTCCTCTCCTCCCCCCACTCTCTCTCCTTCTTCCTCCCCCTTTTCCTCTCTGGTGGTCTGCTGAGCTGTTCACTGAGGTCAACACAGAGACAAACTGACCAATCTGAAGCCGGTGCAACATCAGGTCAGGGGTCAAAGGTCAGATGACAGCATGAGGAATGGAAAGTCAAGACCGACAGGCCAGTGGTTGCATACTTTAGAGCTAGGCTCCCTTATCTTTTTATAGAAAACTCCAATATGGGCCGACAGAGGAGCTGGGGGGAAGTTATGCTACTCATTGCTTTAACAACAGCAGGGTCTATGTTTAACATTTACATGTTTGTTTTTTTAGAAAACACAATGTACAAATCATCTGTATTATTTGCAAGATGGCTTTTATTTAGAAGAAACTTGGATTTGAGAAAAGGTACTTAGAACCATTGGAAAGCATTTCTTATTGATTACTACAAACTATTATTTTTCTTTATTAATCAATGTACAGATATCTTTTTTATTAATGGTGGGCAAATCAATGTGAATATCAGCCAAACATCCAAAGGTGATGTTTTAAAATGTCCATTAGTCCAAAACCCAACGATGCAGAGTATAATATGATATAAAACAGAGAAGAGCAGCAAATCTCCATTATTTCATAGGCTAAAGTGTTTGTTTTTTTGCATAAAGAAACTTAAGAACTACAAAATGATCTAAAAAGCTCGCCAAATATTTTTCTATACATGTCATTTAATTGTTGGAGCTTTAACCTCCTGAGATGAGCTGAAATGTTGCTATGTAGGTTATTATTCCAAGTATTTGTATGTCAATGATGATGTATCTTTAAAAACCTTTCACGTAGGGCCAAGGAGATGATTGTAAGTATGTGAAACAAGAACCTCAATCAAAGAGATAACATAAATCTGGACACAGTGAGATTTATGTCACTGACATAGCAAAGTCTCTTTTGTAGTTGTCAGGCCATTAGTAGGGTAATTCAGTAATTACCAAGTGCTGCTATTTGATCTTCAGACAGTTTGAAGTAAGGCTATATATTAGCTGATTATAAAGAACAACCCCCACCTGCCAAATAAAAACCCAGCCTGAAAAAGATGTATCATTTTGTCACTTTCAGCTCATTGAGCTCATTTACAGCTGAATTGGAACATCATTTGACGGTAAGAGATACCATTGATTGATTTCAAAACCCCATACATGTGCCCTAACTCCATGAAAAATGAGCCAAAGTGGGATAATGATGCTGTTCATTATTTGGCCACCTGCACGGGTTGAATTTGACCTAGACAAATTGTGCTGCTGTATGTCAGCAGTGTATGAAATGTATCCAGCACGAAGGCAGAAGATGGAGAGAGCAGACAAAGAGCTCACAGTAATCTGTGATCTGTCCCGCCACACCCTGACCTACAAAGGTAACCCAACTGCTGGGGGCTACACACACGCACACACAGACACACACACACAAAGCTGGCTACATCAGATACTGTCGGTTGTAACTCTACACTAGAGATAGAAAGATGGGAGGACATGTTGAGGGATGGTGTGTGTGTGTGTGTGTGTGTGTGTGTGTGTGTGTGTGTGTGTGTGTGTGTGTGACTAAATGATTTATAGATATAATAACCTTCAGATTCATTAATAATGAAACTGATAAGCTTTAGCCCTAAAGCTTGGATTTTCAACATTTACAATTCTCCCCAATGGTGACAGTAGTCACACAAACTCGAAAAACCTACCTCTGGAATCTGTGATAACTTCTCTGAAAACAAGATGCTGTTCTCCAAAAATGTTAAAAATATTTTAGGTGTATTTGAAAATATATGTTTGGTTGAGTGTTCCTGTGATTGTGTCTCTTTTTTGCCCCTTAATAGTCTAAAATTAAAGCTCAAGCAAAAGTAAAAAGGGTCACATTTTATACATTTATGCAGCTTAATATTATAAATAACATATTAGCTTCAGTGGGTTTCCAATCTACATTACATCCTCTGTCCAAGACAAAATCACACAAAGACGTTATACATGTAAATTTCAAAATGCATTGTGTTGATCAAAAAAGAGCTTGTATGACCTCGTTATGTGTGCTTTAAACATGTGTTTACCTGTAACCATGAAAGTCGTCGATTATATGTTGGACCAGTGGAGAGGTCAGGGGTTGATGGGCGTGTCCGGGAGGCAGTGACGTGTTCAAGGTGTAGTTTCCATGGGGGAGGTTTGCTCCGCCTCTCTTGCGTCGAGGCAGAGTCCCGTGAATGGAGATTTGCTGGTAGGCCGAAGCAGGCAGATCTGAGAGGCCGCTGCCATGGCCTGTGGGGAAGCTGGAGGAGGGAGGAGGGAAACATAAGATTAAAGTGTTCACGTAAACAAAAACACTTTTGTGAAGACTTTTTTCTCAGAAGCCAGATTCTGATGTGATGACCTTCTTATTAATGTCTCAAAATGTAATTAAATGTTGGTAAATTGCTATGATACAAACCTGCATTGCATTACAGAGAAGCCTATGGGTTTTTAAAACTCATTTCATTTCAGACCCTGAGCTCTGCCAGGCTTCTTTGAAGAGCTGTTTTCAGTCACCCAACTCACCCCGGTTTGGAGCTGAGGAGGTCCATGGAGGAGGCGAGGGAGGACTGGAGCCCCCTGGAGGAGCAGGTGGTGCTGCCAAGGGAGTTTGAGGGAACTCCATGGTGTACAGTGCCTCCTCCCACGACGTGGTGTGCATGGAGGGACCTGGGCAGACTGGCAAAACGCCCCTCTGCCATCATCCTCAACTCTGGGAAAGAAACACACACGCAAAGTCAGAGGACTTCTTCAGAGTGAGTTTACCTTACAGGGTGTGTTATAAATAATATAATGACAAGGGAAATGCAGGGGATGTCATTAAGCTGTTATCAGTTTGGTTAATACATTTCTGTAAGACATATGATCTGAAAACACAAAAGACACGCAAAGATGAAATACTATATTAACACAATCAAATTTCTCACATACCCTTTCACATCATCATGCATACATGACACTCACTGACGTTTGCCTTGAGGGGTTAAAGCTTCTGATTACATATCCTCATACCAGCAGTGTTAGCTAGGTAATGTTATTCTACCTCAATGTACGCATGCGAACAATCAAAAAAAAAAAACTGACAATATACTGTATATATCGCATAATTTAAGGTTAAAGTTGATCCAAAAGACATGAGAACAGTTTTGAACATTAGGAGACATTGCCCGTTACTTTTGTCCTCAATTATTATTTTTCAGTTTAAACTGAGAAGAGCATAAGGACATTGGTAAGCTGGCTTTTTTTGAAGAGGATAACACTGCCCAAATGAAATTTATTTTGGCAGGAATACAAAGCACAAACTATATATGGTTTAGCTTGAATTCCTTAGGAGAGCAGCATGACCTTTAACAATACATTTGACATTCCGTGCAATAACAACCAACTTGAATACCATTTTGGAGTAAACAAAAGTACCNTATAAACATCCAACGTGAATATGAAATACCACCCCACTCCCCACAGGTCAGTCCGGGTTATACGATAGGGTGAATGAGTTTAATAAACATCACAACATGATAATGAATACCCGCCCCACCCCCCACAGTCAGTTGGGTTATACGATAGGAATAGGTTTATACAGTTATCAGTTCGATCAAGTACTATTAAGTAACTCACAGGTGATCCTGGTATACGTTCGGGTGAATAGGTTTTACAGTTTCGATCAAGTACAATTAGTAACTCACAAGTGGTCCTGGTATACGGTCGGGTGAATGAGTTATACAGTTTCGATCAAGTACTATTGAGTAACTCACAGGTGATCCTGGTATACGTTCGGGTGAATGAGTATACAGTTCGATCAAGTACAATTCAGTAACCTCACAAGGTGGTCCTGGTATACGTTTCGTGAATGAGTTATACAGTTTCGATCAAGTACAATTCAGTAACTCACAGGTGGTCCTGGTTATACGTTCGGTGAAAGAGTATACAGTTTCGATCAAGTACAATTCAGTAACTAACAGGTGGTCCTGGTATACGTTCGGGTGAATGAGTTATACAGTTTCGATCAAGTACTATTGAGTGAACTCTCACAGGTGATCCTGGTATACGTTTCAGGTGAATGAGTTATACAGTTCGACAAGTACAATTCAGTAACTCACAGGTGGTCCCTGGTATACGTTCGGGGTGAATGAGGTTATACAGTTTCGATCAAAGTACAATTCACAGTAACTCACAGGTGGTCCTGGTATACGTTCGGGTGAATGAGTTATACAGTTTCGATCAAGGTACTATTGAGTAACTCACAAGGTGATCCTGGTATACGTTCGGGTGAATGAGTATACAGTTTCGATCAAGTACTATTGAGTAACTCAGAGGTGATCCTGGTATACGTTCGGGTGAATAGTTATACAGTTTCGATCAAGTACTAATGAGTAACTCACAGGTGATCCGGTATACGTTCGGGTGATTGAGTTATATACAGTTTCGACAAGTACAATTCAGTAACTCACAGGTGGTCCTGGTATTACGGTTCGGGTGAAATGAGTTATACAGTTTACGATCAAGTACTAATGAGTAACTCACAGGTGATCCTGGTATACGTCGGTGAATGAGTATACAAGTTCGATCAAGTTACAATTCAGTAACTCACAGGTGGTCCTGGTATACGTTCGTGGTGAATGAGTTATACAGTTTCGAACAAAGTACAATTCAGTAACTCACAGTGTTTCTGGTATACGTTCGGTGAATGAGGTTATACAGTTTCGATCAAGTACTATTGAGTAACTCACAGGTGACCTGGGTATACGTTCGGGTGAATGAGTTATACAGGTTTCGATCAAGTACTAATTGAGTAACTCACAGGGTAATCCTGGTATACGTTCGGGTGAATGAGTATACAGTTTCGATCAAGTACAATTCAGTAACTCACCAGGTGGTCCTGGTATACGTTCGGGTGAATGAGTTATACGGTTTCGATCTAGTACTATTGGTAACTCACAGGTGATCCTGGTATACTGTTCGGTGATTGAGTTATACAGTTCGAATCAAAAGAACAAATTCAGTAACTCACAGGGGTCCTGGTATACGTTCGGGTGAATGAGTTATACCAGTTTCGATCAAGTACTATTGAGTAACTCACAGGTGATCCTGTATACGTTCGGGTGAATGAGTTATACAGGTTTCGATCAAGTACAATTCAGTAACTCACAGGTGGTCCTGGTATACGTTCGGGTGAATGAGTTATACAGTTTCGATCAAGTACTAATGAGTAACTCACAGGTGATCCTGGTATACGTTCGGGTGAATGAGTTATACAGTTTCGAACAAGTACAATTCAGTAACTCACAGGTGGTCCTGGTATACGTTCGGGTGAATGAGTATACAGTTTTTCGATCAAGTACTATTGAGTAACTCACAGGTGATCCTGGTATACGTTCGGGTAATGAGTTATACCAGTTTCGATCCAAGTACAATTCAGTAACTCACAGGTGGTCCTGGTATACATTCGGGTGAATGAGTTATACAGTTTCGATCAAGTACAATTCAAGTAACTCAACAGGTGATTCCCTGGTATACGTTCGGTGTGAATGAGTTATACAGTTTCGATCAAGTACAATTCAGTAACTCACAGGTGGTCCTGGTATACGTTTCGGGTGAATGAGTTATCCAGTTTCGAACAAGTACACAGTAACTCTCAAGTGGTCCTGGTATACGTCGTGTGTATCAGTTTGTGACATTTTCTCTGTCCTGATTCGTTCGGGTATGATTTCCAGTTCGAACAAGTACAAATTCAGTAACTCACAGGTGTTCCGGGATACATTCGGGTGAATGAGTTATACAGTTTCGATTCAAGTACAATTCAGTAACTCACAGGGTGGTCCTGGTATACGTTCGGGTGAATGAGTTATACAGTTTCGATCAAGTACTATTCAGTAACCACAGGTGGTCCTCTGGTATACGTTTGGGTGAATGAGTTATACAGCCAGGTGGGCTATACGATAGGGCGGAATGGTTTATAAACATCACTACCATATGCGATGACATGGGGAGACGATGAGTATTACACATTGCAATGCCGGAAGACAAATTCGACAAAAAGTGAGAGTGAGAATACCCACTATCCCGTGTGGTTAAAGGGGCGTCCGATCCGCCAGGTTCTCATAAGATTAAGCGAAGCAGAACCTAGAAATCTACACTAAACAAAACATCAAACAATAAAACTACCACTTTTCGGTCCCTTAACAAGGCAAATGAGATGACTCTTACGAAATATACACTGAATATTAGAAGATAAATATTCATCGCAACACCGCGTCACTCTATTGATAATGGGGATCTACGCCTTCTAGCACTCAAGCTTTGTGTAGATTCGGCTTACTTCAGACAGTCTGGGCTTCCAACCTAACCTTGAGGATGAAATTTTCCCAATAAAAACCCCATATAACAATTTATATCTTGTATCTTACCACACTTATTATGAAATGCTTGCTGAATATTTAGTATAAATTCATACTTTGAGGTGACGTATAAATGTTGAAACTGTATATATATATATATATATATATTATAACATAGTCCTCGATTCTCGTGTCTCGATTGGTTGTGTATGTTGTACTGAATCGTATTGAGATTTCTTTACTGTGGCCCTTATGAATAAACTTAGTACATTGTGTAAAATAAATGTTGTTGTCTTGTAAATTTTGTACATAAAATTGTTGTTGTTGTCTTGAAAATATTGTACTAAAATGTTGTTCTTGTAAAATTTTGAACATAAAATTGTTGTTGTTGTTCTTGAAAATTTGGTACATAAAATTGTTGTTCTTATAATTTGTATATAAAAATTGTGTATAAATTCGAGTAAAATATTTATATAAGACAGACGTACACACAACACACACACACACACACACACACACACACACACACAACACCACACACACACACAACACAAACACAGACAGACGTGTAGGTAAATTAAACATGTCTAACAGAAACTTACAATTTTTGGAAGCTGATGCGGACATATCCCAACCTCTCAAATACCCCTGAACGAAACTCCCCCCCTGTTGTAGTGGGGACGTGGAAAAGACAACCGTGTGTTTAATTTTCGTTAATAATTACTTGAACAGAGCAACCCTAAGTTATGTAAACAGTATAACACGATAAATTGGCAAAAATAGAGTTTATTAGTTTTTAGAAATTACGATATAAAATGATATAAAAAAACTTAACACTGTAAAAGTGATGGAATACTGACGTTATCGGCCGAGACCAGTGGGAACCACGAAGAAAAGAACCAAAACTTAGACAAGGAAGAGGAGGAGGGAGGAGGAGGACGAACAGTGGGAGGAGGAGGAGAACGAACATGTGGGAGGAGGAGAACGACAGTGGGAGGAGGAGGAGGAAGGGAGGAGGACAACCGAGTATTTCCTTTTGACATAGCAAGATATGTGACCTATGTGTACTCATTTGATGTGGTATAGAAATACAGTCTGACTCCCCACGAGAGAAGACTAAGATAAGAGAGAGGCGATGGACTAGTCGTGATAGAAGGAGATACGCAGGGAGGAGAGGAGGAGAACGAACATTGGGAGGAGGAGGAGAGGTAGGACAGCGAGAAGACAGAACCTAGTTTTCTCTTTTGTAATGCAGTCCTGACTCCACCCCCACGAGAAGAAGACTAAGAGGAGAGGAGGAGGAGAGAGTAAGTCGAGGAAGGGAGAGGGAGGAGGAGCACGAACAGTGGAAGGAGGAGAGGAGCAGTAGGAGGAG